GGGATTTGAACCTGAGACCTCATGGTTCTCACCCACTTCATTGACCACTAGGCCACACCCTTGGGTGCTGAAGCTCAGTACTTTTATCAGCAATTTTGTGCATGTTCTTTTAATTATATTCCACATCTCACCAATCACCATTCTTTCATTCCCATGTCCATCACAAATTTGACAGATTTCGTTTCTAAATTTAAATATCTGGCATGTCACAGGTACCCATATATATACAATAGAGATGGCACAGAGCTCCACTGCCTGAAGGTTAGTTTGACCCGTTTAGTCTTTTATAATTGACTGCCCCAGAAAATAAATATTTATGGATTCCATGTGGTCGATTGGTATTTTAGGATGTTATTGTTGAAACAAATGCATGCTCATCTGTTTTGCATTCCGATTCATAGGTTTTTAGCCAATTATTAAGTAAAAATGGTGCTCGCTTATGTTCTCTTTCCTTAAAACTCCAGGAGCATGGTGCTGTGCTAAAGCTTCAGTTCTTAAGGAATCACTTCCTTTTGGCTTCTATTAACAAATTTGGTCAGCTCCATTATCAGGATGTCACTACTGGACAGATGGTAGGTAATCTTCGAACTGGCTTGGGCCGTACTGATGTGATGCAGGTGAATCCCTTCAACAGTGTGGTTGCTGTCGGCCATTCTGGTGGAACAGTCAGCATGTGGAAGCCTACAAGCGCTGCTCCCCTAGTGAAAATGCTCTGTCATCCTGGACCAGTCACTGCTCTTGCATTCCATTCTAACGGCCATCTAATGGCAACCGCTGGTATGGAGAGGAAAATAAAGATTTGGGATTTGAGGAAGTTTGAGGTTCTCCAAACCTTACCAGGACATTGCAAGGCCTTGGATTTTAGTCAAAAAGGTTTACTTGCTGCTGCAACCGGATCTTTCGTACAAGTTTTTGGAGATCTTTCTGGATCTCAGAATTATAGCCGTTATATGAATCATTCTATTGCGAAAGGATACCAAGTAAAGAAGGTGGCGTTCAGACCATATGAAGACGTTCTAGGCATAGGGCATTCTATGGGTTGGTCTTCTATCTTAATTCCAGGATCCGGAGAACCCAACTTCGATTCTTGGGTGGCAAATCCATTCGAAACATCTAAACAAAGGAGAGAGAAGGAAGTCCGCTCTCTTCTTGACAAGCTTCCTCCAGAGACTATCATGTTAGATCCTACAAAGATTGGTACAGTGAGGTCAACAAGAAAGAAGGAACAGCCAACAAAGGAGGATAAAGAAGCTGAAATGGAAGCTGCTATTGAGGAAGCTAAAAGTATGCCTATGAAGAAGAAAACAAAAGGTAGAAGCAAGCCGAGTAAGATTGCAAAGAAGAAGCAAGAAGCTGTCGAGAAAGCTAAGAAGCCGTTCCTGGAGCAACAGATGAATGAATTCTCCAAGAAAAGGAAACTCACCGAGGAAACTCAGCTTCCAAAATCTTTAGAGCGTTTCGTTAGGAAGAAGGCAGTAGTAGCATGATCAGTTACGTCTACTGGACTTTTCTTTCTTGCCCTTAACTTGCATTTGCATTTCATTCTTTTTGTTTTCTCTCCCTATTAACTTCCCTTGAGGGAGATGGTTATAGAAATTGAAGAGGCTAGTGTTGTAATTCTTCAGATCAAGTTTATCCCCTTTTCTCCCTGTTTACATTGTTTTATTGTTAGATTAAAAATGTAGGCATTCTTGTTTTAACATGGGGTTTCCAGCTTGAAATTACAGGCCAATGTAAAATCTACAAACTAGGCCATGTATGAATTAATTTATCATAGCCTTGACTATTTCCTGCTATGTATAGGCGCATTCATAAGCTTTGTTATACTTTTTCCCGTCTATTTCTCTTTCATTTTGAACTTGCACTGATATGTTTTGAGGCTAGTGCACAAGTTGTATTCAGTAAATATTCTTCAGTCGAACATGTGTGCAATTTCTGTCACTTTACTGCTGGCTGCAGCCAGGATCCTGTTAGTTAAGAAGAAAGCAGATGAAAGGACCAAAGGTTGAATAGGACATTGCTAAGACTTGCATGTCATATACTATAGATATGAAATGTGACTTATATCCATAACGTCTAAAAACTATCAAAAATACCTAACAATACCAAACACACAAACTTGATAATCCAGTATATGCAGAACCTTTATCGATCACATTCATTATCATCATCACAAACCATAGTCCTGAATATAGATAAATTTGGCACAAAAATTGTCATTTTTATAATGAACTACATAATACATTATCCTAAAACTATAACATGATATTTTAATATCAACTGCTAATAACACAATTACTAGCCACTATAATTCGTCAAATTGCAATAATATTACAAGATCCATCAGTCCAAAAGAAATTGATAGTAATTAGCTGCTGGTTAGTTGGGTCATAATAGATGGTGAACTTTTTTTATAAAATACAAAAGTTTAGGATAATTTTTGAAATTGTTAAAAAATCAAACAGTGATATTTTGGGCCAAAAATAGGTCTAGAAATAATTTTGGGATTTGGAAATTTTGTTTTCGTAATATGCCAAAACATGTATAAAATCTATAAACAAATATGTTTTGTCAAATTTTATTTGGAAAAAAATTGGCAAAATCTACAGCGAAACGGGGGCTTAATCTTCTCAACCTACTTTTAATAGTTAGATTAACTAGTGAGTTAAGTGAAACAATTTGATTTTCTTGTTTCTGGTGTAGTGCAAAGTGGACCGGATTGTGTGGTCATTTGTCAACCAATTGGCAATCCATCAACTTTATTAAAGAAAATGACAAAAGGGAGTGTCCTACGACCTTGTTCTCCCATTTAGAAAAACAAGGTGTAAATAAATACTACCTCCCATTTACTTTTTGGTCTTTCTAAATTTAAAAATAATTTATGTTAAACTTACAAAAACACACAAATAATCTGGATCACTTTTGACTTATTTAGGACTACAAATTTCAAAAATATATTTTTTTTTTAAAATTACGTGCTCAATCAAACACTTTCGTATAAATTGTAAGTGATTGAGTAGTACACCTGTTTGGACAGAACTTCGAGACCTAATAACTAAGCTACTGAAGCAGGGAGATTAGATCTGCACAGCTCTGTCTTAAGGCATTCCAGCAAAACTGCAACAACCATTAGTCCATTACTCATACAATACACCAAACAATTTTAGGCTCTCAAACTCAGAGAAGAAGAATGGCTTATGCAGCTCTTTCTTCACTTATGCATACACTGCAGCAACTCCTGCAACCTAACCAACGTTTGGTTTGTGGAAGCTGTATACCACAACAACATATTGAATCCACTTATCAAAGTCTTTCTGCTCTGCAAGTTTTCCTTGAGGAGGCTACAAAGGAAGCCAAAGATATTGAAACTCGAAAGAGTTTGGAAAAGAGGATCAGAGATGTAGTCTACAAAGTAGAATATAGAGTTGATTCAAGACTCAGAAGTGTCATTGTAGCAGATTGCGGAGATGACCGAGAAAGGGCTTGTAAAGCTTTCAATGAAGAATTGCAAGAAGTCGAAAAAGAAGTTGATTCTCTCAAGAAAGAGGTGATACAGATCGAGTTTAACAAACACCGAAGCAAATCTGCAGAATTAGCAACAACTTCTTCCTCATCAAGAAGGTATGCAATTGAGCAAAATACTGTTGTTGGAATGGAGGATGACTTCAACACCATACTAGATCGCCTCACCGCACAAACACATGAGCTAACTGTCATATCAGTTGTTGGTATGGGCGGTATAGGTAAGACAACTCTTGCTAGAAAAGCTTATGATGATTCATCTATTCGATATCGATTTGATACACATGCATGGGTCACAGTCTCAGAGAACTACAATGAGAGACAAGTGCTACTAGATGTTATTATTTCAATAAGTCGGGATAGAACTGATGAAAGCTATGAAACAATGAGCAAAGATCAATTAGCAGAGATTGTGTATAAAGGTTTAAAGGGTAGGAGATTTCTAATTATCATAGATGATCTTTGGAGTACTGAGGCATGGGACCAAATGCAAAGACTATTTCCAAATGATAACAACAAAAGCAGAATCCTATTAACAACTCGCCTTAACTATGTTGCTGATTATGCAAGCCCTGATTTCCCCCCTCATAGTATGTCTTTTCTAAGTTTGGACGATAGCTGGAATCTGTTTACTGAAATGCTATTCAAAGAAGATCTTTGTCCTCTACTACTACAAAAAATAGGGAAGCATATCATACAACAATGTCGAGGATTACCTCTATCGATCGTTGTCATTGCTGGAATTCTTGGCAAGATGGACCCGACACATGATAATTGGAAGAAAATTGAGGAAAATTTGAACTCATTCTTTGGTACGGTTTCTGAACAGTGTCAATCAATTCTTTCATTGAGCTACAGTTACTTGCCCCAGTATTTGAAGGCTTGTTTTCTCTATGTTGGAGGTTTTCCTGAAGACATGGAGATTAATGTTTCCAAGTTGATTAGGCTATGGATTGCTGAGCAGTTCATAAAGGCAAGAAGCTATAGGAGGTTAGAGGAGGTGGCAGAGGAGTATTTACAAGACTTGATTGATAGAAGTCTCATTTTGGCTGGTAAACAAAGGGCTAATGGAAGGATGAGAACTTGCAAAATTCACGATCTTCTTCGGCAGCTGTGCATAATAGAAGCTCACAATGAGAATGTGGTGCACGCCATGAATGCAAATGTCCCCATGTTCTCAGAAGCCGTAAATGATCAACGACGAGTAATTGTTCCATTTGATATTAAAGAGAAGCATGTTTACCCTAACCCTACAAGGCATAGCAGTGTCCTTACAAGTATGACCCGGACCTTTATTTTTACGAAATATTCTGATTTAGATTTTACAGAACGTTTTTGTTCCATTGTTTCACAGTTCAAGCTGCTTAAGGTGTTGGACGTATATAATGTCCGTTGTGATTTCTCATGTGTAATACCTAAACTTATACATTTGAGATATGTTGCTGCAAACATTGACGAAGCTCCTTCACTTGCCAAATTGTGGAATCTACAATCCATAATTCTTCGTAATTTTTCAAGCAAAGACTTGCATCTCCCACAAGAGATCTGGACAATGTCAGAGATAAGACATCTTGATATTAGATGGTCAATACATATGCCTAATCCTCTTGTGGCAGAAAGTCATAATAGTATTGAAGAACAACCTTTGTTTCTCAATAACTTGCAAACACTTGTTCTCTGTTCCTCTCCTTATTTGGCGGAAATCCTAAGAAGAACTCCCTATCTAAATAAGCTAACGGTTTTAGATGAATCTAGGCATTCTGACTGTCCTGCTATTCTTGATCCTCTCAGTCTTCTACAGGAGTTGGAGACACTAACTATAGAAGCAGATTTAGGCAGTGACCCGATGATTCTCTCTAGGGATATTTTCCCTCCTAATCTCAAGCAATTGAAATTATCGTATACTACTTTACAATGGGAAGATATGGTTGTGCTGGCTAATTTACCCAATCTTGAGGTGCTCAAAGCATATTCTGCATTCGAGGGAACAAATTGGAAACTAAATGAAGATGTTGTGTTTCAAAAATTAAAATATCTACGACTTCAGTACGGAAGTCTGGAAAGGTGGGAAGCAACTAATGATAATTTTCCGATGCTTGAGCAACTACTCCTGTATGGATTCCGGAAGCTGGAGGAGATTCCTCAGAGTATTGGAGAAATAATGATACTAAAATTGATCCAAATAGAACGTTGCAGCGCTGCAGCAGTCACTAGTGCAAAGAAAATTCAACAAGAGCAAGAAAGCTGGGGAAATTATGAGCTTCAAGTTCGAATTATCTAGCTTTGATTATTAAGTATGTTAAAATTCCATCTTTGATTATTAGCGAATTTTCTTAATATGCTCATGTGGTTTTCTGTGTTCTTAAATTTTCCTCTTTACCTTCTTTTCTTATAAAAAGGCTTGTAAACTTTGAGAACCGTTATCTACAGTCAGAATCTTAAGATACATTGTACTTTTAATCACTTTTTGGATGCTATTTTCCTTTTCTCCCCACCTGCAAGATTTGCTACAAATAAGCTTTTAACTGGCATTTGAGGAAATTCTGAGTATGATTTACTGCAGTCTCAATCTCAGAGCTTCTAGCATTGTGAAACTTGGAAAATATTTTGGTGTTAACACTGAGTAAAGTAGATGTAGTAGCATGTTAAATCTTTGATCCCAACAGCTATTTTCATTCTTGATAGTGAGATGACTTCAAGCTTATAGTAGCTAGATCTTTAAAAATTGAATGAAGTTAGAAGATATAGCTCTTATTACTTTAATACTACTATGTTTGAATATTTGGATAACTGATTTTCTTGAGTGCATTACCTTTAAAGAGAGCAAATATTCTGTTGGTTTACCTCATTAATCACTGAGTGAGTGGAACTATTTTATTTGGTTGTTTGTAATTGCCAGAAAGGAGTCTTCTAGTCTTTACTATCCATTAAATTTATTGAAGAAACAAATAGTGTGTAGGCTACACCTTATCATCTCCCCAAATTAAAAAAAGAAAAGGTACATAGATAGAGCCTAAGACTTTATAGTTACAGTAGGCTCTTGTCCCATTGCTAATTATGAAATGGTGCGGCAAATTAGAATCAGTTCACGTGGATTTTCCAGAGGAAACAGAATTAAAGAACCTTATACTATTAAATTATATAAGAATAATATAAAGGGTAGCCCTATACACAAGGCATTCCGCTGGGTTCAGGAAATGGCCAAATTTCAAGGGGTGTGATATAAACAACCTACCCTAATGGAAGCATTAGTGACTGGTTCCATAACTCGAACTAGAGTAAACAAAATTAAAGCAAATCAAAGACCTTAAACTATTAAATTATATAAGAATAATAAAAAGGGCAGCCCGGTGCACAAGGCATTCCGCGGGTTCGGGGAAGGGATGCACTCCAAGGGGTGTGATGTAGACAGACTACCCTAATAAAAGCATTAGTAGCTGGTTCCACGACTCGAACTCATGACCTATATATCACGTGGACACAAATTTACCGTTGCTCAAAAAAGTTCCCCTTCTATATAAGAATAATAAATAAATAAGCCAACAAGGAGGTAGGTGAGTAGCTCTTTGTCCTTCCGCATTTAGCTTAGTATTTTCTACATATTGCTGTCTTCAGGGTGTAGAGACCTTTACTCATATTTTTACACTCAAATTCAGAGAAATGGCTTATGCTGCTCTTTCGTCGCTTATGCATACACTCCAGCAACTCTTGCTACCTAACCAACGTTTGTTTTTTGGAAGCTCTATACAACAACATGCTGAACCTGTTTATCAAAGTCTTTGTGCTATTCAGATTTTCCTTGAGGATAGTACAAAGGAAATTAATAATATTGAAACTCTGAAGGTTTTAGAAATGAGGATCACTGATGTTGTCTACGAAGCAGAAGATAGAGTTGATTCAAGCCTAAGAAGCATCATTCTAGCAAATAATGCAGATGACCGAGAAAGGGCTTGTAAAGCCTTCAATAATGAATTGCAAGAAGTGGAAAAAGCAGGAAAGAGGTGATACAAAGCAAATGTGCAGAATTAGCAACAACTTCTTCCTCATCAAGAAAGTATGCAACTGGAAAAATACTGTTATTGGAATGGAGGATGACTTCAACATCATACTAGATCGCCTCACTGCCCAAACAAAGGAGCTAACAGTCATATCAATTGTTTGGTATGGGAGGTATAGGTAAGACAACTCTTGCTAGAAAAGTTTATGATGATTCATCTATTCGACATCGATTTGATACACATGCATGGGTTACCGTCTCTAAAAATGGCAGCCCGGTGCACTAAGCTACCGCTATGCGCAGGGTCCGGGGAAGGGCCGGACTACAATGGTCTATTGTACGCAGCATTACTCTGCATTTTTGCAAGAGGTTGTTTCCACGGCTCGAACCCGTGACCTCCTGGTCACATGGCAACAATTTTACCAGTTACGCCAAGGCACCCCTTCACATGGACAATGGTAGGTAAGTGCTTCTTGATGTTGTCTCTTCAATTAGGCGGATCAACAGGACTGATGAAAGCATAAAAAATATAAGCAGTGATCAGCTAGCGGATATTGCGTATAAAGGTCTGAAGGGTAAGAGATTTCTAATTGTCATAGATGAGGCTTGGGACAAAATGCAAAGAATATTTCCAAATGATGACAATAAAAGCCGAATTATATTAACCACTCGGCTCAAATATGTTGATGATTATCAGATTATGTCAGCTGCTATGATTTTCCTCCTCATGACCTGTCTTTTCTAAGTCTCGAGGAGTATTTACAAGAGTTAATTGATAGAAGTCTAATTTTAGCTGGTAAACAAAGGGCTAATGGAAGGATGAAAACTTGCAAAATTCACAATCTTCTTCGACAGCTTTGCATAAGAGAAGCTGAAATTGAGAATCTTCTGCATATCATGAATTATGATGACTTAAGTAACTCAGATGAATGAGTTAATTATCCGCCTAGGGGCGGATCTATGTATGGAGTTGGGGGTGGCATGCCACCCGGTCGCTCGGATAAAGTTTTATATACATACTAGTATTTTCCATAAAAATACCTACATAAGGAACAAGTGGTACTCCAAGTCACAAGATGACTGAAGGTGCCGTGGTTGAAATGCTGAAATTCCATACACAATATCTGGGATCGAGACTGTCTAGATGCTCTCGTGTTGCCTTTCTTTTCTATATGTTCTTTTTGTTAATTTCTCTTATTTTCTTCATCTTATATATTCACTTTTCTTATACATTTTCAATTTTATTATTTATTTATATTGTATATTTGCTTCCTTTGTCTTTTTTTGGATATTCGTATTTTATTTGGATGGATGTAATCTAATCATTTTCTTTTTTAATCCATATAATGTTATTTTATTAATTATAATTTTTTTTTTATAGTGATGAATCAAAGACATAATATAATATTAATCAGCTACATGTAGATGGAAGGGATGTATCACATATTCGTTTATGCATAAAACAAATTTTAAATTGGATTGAATAAATTCAAAATGGATCGAACCGAACCGAAGTAATCCAAAACGGATCGAATCGACTGAATGTACACCCTAATTCAATCTTCTTCACTAGTGATCGTTTTACATTAAAATAGTGGCACCCGTAGCCATCAAATCCTGGATCCGTCTCCGCCAGAGAGTAATGCCACCGCAGCCACTGTTAGAGCTACAATAATCGCCACAACTTGCCATACAAAATAGCTTCTTTCGCATCATTGCTGTTTCTGGCGTCAAGTCTCGAACAGCCATCACTTGTAAACTTGGTGGTCCGAACATATCAACTGCATATATTGTGATTAAGATCAACGTAAGAATCCAAATATCATAATGTAAACAATGTAAATATAAATGTCCGTATGCAACGGCGGAGCCAGAATTTTCACTAAGGAGTGTCAAAATATAAAGAAGAAATCAAGGGGAGTCAATATATACTAACAAAGATGTGTTAGTTGACACCCTTGGGATAAGGTGGCTCCGACACTGTATGGATTTGTACATAGAAACATTCGTAAAAATATATATACATACATGTCTGAGTGGACGTAGAAACATTCGTAAAAATATATATACATACATGTCTAAGTGGATGTACAAAAAGCTCATGCACATCATGATATGCATATTGACTACATATGTTTAATGCAATATTATTAGAGGCGGAACCAAGATTTGAAGATTTAGAGTATATATGGTCTAGCATATTACGTGTAAAGCACTTTCATCTATTGTAATTTGTTATTTATGCCTTCTAGAGGTCGTAAATCAATCGCGTGTTATGCTACATATAATTATCGCTAATTGACTTCTAAATAGATAGAGAAAACCTTTTACATGTTTTTTGTGTAATTAATCACTAAAATCGTTAAGAAAATTGTTATCCTCCGGTATCTCTTGTCTAACTCCCTATCTCATCACCTACGACTCTTTAAACCTTAGCTTAGCAATTACTGGAATTATATATTCAGCATTCTGTATCCATGACTTGTCTCAATCTCGTAGTTGATGGTGCACCATCTTCTTGAAATCCTAGATCCGCCTTTGTGTATACGTGAAATTTTTGCTAAATTTTACGGGTGCCGATGACTCTTCTCGATATAACATAGGTCCGTCTCTAAGTAATATAATGCACGACTTCATAAAATTACAAATAAAGTAAAGTAAAATTACGGTTTACGATTCAATAGTTATCGCCAAGAGAGCAATGAATAAGATAGCTTGTTCACTTGATGTTTGGCAGCCATATTTGCAAATACTTTGAAATATTTCTTATTAATGAACAAAGCTAGCAGAGGAGTACTGTGTGGTGATTTCTTATAACATGGGGGATCATATTTATAAGCCCTTAGGTACACCATAAATTAATGAGATTGTTACACAAATAGTCGTCAAGATTTAATGTTTATTTTTTCTAGCCGATATATATAGATTATACATAGCTAAACATATATTGTACATATATATATTATACATCCGACAGCTATTTTAAGTTTAAGAGATTAGGTGGACGACTGTTTGGGTTAAATCTTCTAAATTAATTGCTCATTAATTGCCATTGCTAATTTGTCCTTTTTAAAGTTTAATAATTAAAGAGAGTTTTAAAGCACGTTATATATGTTGAATGACTCGAGGCTTACATTATTATGTTTCGTATCATTCAGGTACCATTTTATAGTATACTCCCTCAGGACTCCAGTCCATTTTAATAGATTTTTTGGCATGTTTTATGTGGTCCATAATATTTAATTTTTTCAAATATTAAGAAAAAATTAACTTATTATTTTCAAAGTTGCCCTTGGAGTAAAAAAATCTATGAGTATTTGTTATATTTTTAATGAATAAATTAAGATTAATATAGTCAATTTCATTATTAAGAAATTCCTTAATATGTGTAAAAATAACCAAAAAATCAATTAAAATGGATAAGAGAGAGTATTTCTTATTGTTATATTACTGCTGGCAATAGCACCTTAATGAACTAACTGCTTGTTAATTAT